GCTCTAAGCCTACGTTGGCCCTAGTGAACTTCTCTGCTGACAAAAAGAGCTGACCGGTGAAACAAATCTAATAATACCGATAGAATGCCGAACCCTACCGTCACGGTTAGTCTATAGCTACACTTTGGGCATATTGAGATTTGACTTGTATCAAGTAGGTAGACTCTGCGCGCCAGTGTTAGTTAATTGCGGTACTTTGGGACCTCTATTTTACAAAAGTGCATTTATTGTGTTTTGTCCAACGTGCTTAGTCTTCCTTGATCCTAGCTGCATTTGCCCTTGATTTGCTTGTTTTGAGTTTCAGCTGGTATCAAGAAGGCAGGACAGGACTTTTGTCTCTGTACTTTTTTGTGTGCGTGAAGAGATGCCGTTTGAAACAATCCGTTGAGTTTTATTTGATTTATTCATCCGAATGGAGATTCGACATACCCGACCGCATCTACCAGGCGCTATTCTCAATTTCTCCAAGTACGACCTCCTTCCTCGCAAGTCAGACACCGAGTTTTCGGAAGTGACTAGAAAAACGCTGGCTGATCCTAACCCTCGGCTAGAGCTAACGGCTTACTGAGGCAGACCTCACTCGGTTGTAATTGCGAAAGCCGGTGAGATCAGGATATTCCGGATCGAGCTAGGTATCCCCGACTCCCAGATAAGTTAAACACCGAGTCTTTCGAAGTGACTAGTGGAACTCTAGTTGGCCCTAACCGCAGCTGCCCTTGCGGCTAAACACTGGCGGTTTGAGCTAACGGCGGAGGAGGGTTTGCTTCACGCGCCCTCGGTACAACTAGCGACTGTCTGGAATATGAACTCACTTAACCCTAATGTCAATCACGCAGTGGAGTGCTATTTCAGGAAATTGGAAGTCAAAACACAAGGTATGTACCTAACATAAAAGGTGTTCTTCTTTTTGGTTGGCCTTGCGAATCATATATAATTCATTTTTCGCTCCTGAAGGTCCCAGAATTGTAGGTTACAGATAGGTACCTTAATTGTGATCATTATATCCCAGAAACGTCCCAGATATACAAAAGTGTTTATAGGTTGGCTCATTGTATCACAAAATGTTGTGTCTCCGATATTATTTCCTTTTAAAGGTTTGGTAAACACATTCATGAGGAAGCTGTTAGTTTAGGCTAGTTTAAAACTCCAATAACGATAGTACGCGGCTTGAGTTTAGGAATTGTAGAATTGCTTTGGGGTTCACGTCTTTGTCTACAGTGTGCTTAGTTCCCTGTACCGCAGATTGAACTCCAGAAACAGAGCTTGAAGTAGATGCGGGTAAAATGATCGTCTGGCCTTATTCTTCACCCGAACGTATCTGTATTGCTGTAAACCGTTCATCGCTTTGGGCTTATCGCGTCGCACCGTTATCGCCTGCTAGCTTGACCGCGCACTGCTTTAACCGATGCTCTTTAACCGCTTTTGATTCCGTTCGACCACGAGCTAACCGATTGCGCTCCCTCTCCGCTCTATTGTTAGGGTAGCTATATTCAGATAGGGATTTACCTCGTTTTTACATATATTTTATTATATATTTTTATATATAAGTCTTGCTTTTAATTACAAATACCGTCCTGCCTGAAGTAAGATATACAAAAAGTGAAGTAGGAGAAAGTATCTCGAGTCTGACCCTTTGAGCGTGAAGCATCAAATCCCTAAATTATTTTCTTCACTGAAGCTGCCCAGGGTGACTGTTTCGGTCTAAAGTGTTGTCTCCACACGTTAAACAGGAGGCTGGTGCCAAAGGAGTTGCTGAACTATACCCCATTCGTAGTTAGTTTACGCCCCGGCGGAACAAAGAGGTAGCGCGGCAAAGCGGCATCCGCCTAAGCGTTGCAATAGCTATTGGTGATTCGGCCATAAAACTACGAAAAAGTGTTAAATTCGACAGGATAGGACTCAGGCTCGGGGTATCGCTGGCACGCCGATGCCGGCAGTTGCTGTTTATATTCGGTGCATAGATAGCATGTTTATATGTTCGTCTACGGATACAGTAGATGAAACTTAGAATATTTCTCCCAATGCGCCATACAGCGATGCTTCCTCCTCAGTGATGTCTTCTCTCCGAAAACGTGACAAAAAGGGACATTTGAATGTTCAGGCAAAAGAAATTATTTAACTATTATAAGAGCAAAAGAGCATCCTGAAATGAAAATTCATGATATTGAAAGACGTGTGGTGAACAAAACAGGCTTATGTCCTAAGACAATTTTCAACATTGTTAAATAATATAAAAAAATTGTCTCCACCACACGAATCTGTTGGATAAAATAATAATTTTTAATTTGTTGTTTATTCCAAGACCATTGAGAAAAATACTGACCTGTACAATCTCGCTTTTGAGCATGTTGTGTTTTGTCAGGGCGTAAATAGACTACAAATGGAGTATAGAGAGGCAGGTAGTTCGCCAGCTAGTGACCCCCAGGAAATGGCTTTACACTCTTTCCGGAAGCACTTTGAATTTCGAAACCTTCTAAACAGCATTTTACTATATATCTTACAGTTTCCGAAATCTCAATGGTGAGGGTCAAATTTGAAACACCCTATTATATTCATTTATAACAAGCAACTTACGTTCTTGACATTTTTGTTTGACATTGCAAAGTGAAGTAAATATACATACATTGCCAGAAAGGACAGAACCTTGGATTATTTCAGTTATATGCGAAAAAGCTGAACGTATTTTTTTATATATATCGAAGCAGCCGTGCAGGCAGAAGCCTAAATGCCGGCTGCTATGATGATCCCAAAGAAATTTTGTGAATACGATTTTTGAACTGCCTAAGGTTAGTAGAACTGGGAAAAGCTTCCTCTTGTAGATTGTTCCACAATCTCGACACCCTCGGGACAAAGAGGCAGTCGTATCGGCCAGTTCTGGATGTATGACGTTAGATACGGTTAGGATGGGACGCCAAAGTCAGGTGGCACGCACATCGCGCGAAGAGAGCTCTGAGGAGCAAAGCCCGTTGGTATAGCGACAGACAAAGAGATTGCCGACTGCCCGCCGGTGCGAAAGGGTCCCGATACTGTCTGTTAGAGAAGAGTCATCGACCAGTCGGACCGCCCTCCTCTTGGCAGCATCGAGTATGGACAATGCAGTTGGGGCGGCAGCACCCCAAACGTGTGAGCAATTCTCGAGGATAGACCTTATCTGGGCCTTGTATAGAGTGAGAAGGTCATGCGGAGAGAAGTACTTCTTAGCCCTAAACAAATAGCTTAGCTTTTTCCCAGCAGCTGCTGCGTGCCAGATCAGGTCCTCGGTGATCTGGACTCCGACCAGCCGAAAGGAATGGCTCTTTGGCAGAACTCGGCCATCCCGGCGTAGGTGGTAGACAGTCTCTGACTGTCGAACGCGGAGGTACCACCCGGCGGATCTCGTAGGCGGAGCCAGAATGTGTGCATGTTGCATGCACACGTGTTCCCTCGCCAGAGTCCGTGTGGCGTAGCCCCTTTCCCCTGTATCCCCCTATAGCCCCACGGTACCCAATGAGTTTTTAGGCCTTAGGCCTTCGTGGTAGTTGGAGTATAAAAAAAAACATCGAAACCGGATGAGCGCTAGGCCGTTTTTTCTTCGCCAAAGTACAGCACTGTGTTTTGGAAGCATTGAACTGTACAAGATTGTTGCGTTCCCAAGCAGTGATAGCCTCCAGGTCTCTTGTCATAGAGGAAGTCGTCGCTAGTCTTCTCCTTTACAGCTCAGCGGCAGAGATCGGCTTGTCACTGTGAATTCCTGCATGTAGAGTGCTGTCATCATCGAAGCTGTGGATTGGGTTGATCGTGCAGGAATAGAGGCCGTTGATATTTAAGAGAAACAGTGTCAGCTTCTCTGGAAGGCCATAGGTTGGAAGTTTGCTCAAGAGGGCAGCGTGTCACAGCTGATCGAACGCTTTCGTGATGTCAAGAGCAACGACATTAGTCTCACCATAAGACTGGATGATTTTACTCAACATTTGCGTGACGTAGGCTAGGAGGTCCCCTGTGGATCGTTGGTGCCGGAAACCATACTGCCTGTCGCTAATCAAGCTGTGACTTTCGAGGTAGTCCAGAAGCTCGCGATTTATGCACCTCTCCATCACCTTACCTATAACAGAAAGCAGAGCTATAGGCCTGTAGTTGTAAGGGTCGGTCTAAGATCCTTTTTTTGGGATGGGTTGGACATGAGCAAATTTATTATGTATTCGACATACGACGTACAATCAGTATTGCCAGAAAATAAAAAAGAATAGAGTGACTAACTGGCTATGCAACAATAAAAGATGGATACAAAAATAAACTTACATTGTCGAAAAAACAAAATTCAAAGTTTTGTCATCTTTGGGAGACATGAGGATTTCAAGGGTGAAAGAACAAAGGCTTACAATAACAATACTTCCTAAAATGCTTTAGGATTTTGATAGTGAATAATTTAAGAATATCTAGGAACTTTGGCAAATTTAAAGTATCCGTTTCTTCACATGCATAGCTTTTCGGGGTCGGGGTTATATAACTGCTTTAAGTACTTATAAGTACTTTTTTATTCAAAATACCTATAAAAAGGTTAGAGTGAAAAGAAACACTTAGAATTGGTTTAAAGAGAGTGTTTAGACAATTTGACGCTATCTTGTGCCTGGCAGCAAGGAGATTGGTTATATCATTGAATAAGATTATACAAAAGAACAAATCATAATATTTTCCTGGACAGATGGACTAATGAGCCATAATGAGCCATAAAACAAAGGATATCCGCGTACTTGCAAATTTTGAAGGAAATTCTCCAGATGGTATTCATAATAATTTGAAGTAAAAGCTTTTGCTTTTTGAGTATAATCATATCCTTGAAACAGTAACATAAGTAAAAGGGTAGTCATAACCTCCACCTTATACTTGGCATCGGAAGCATATTATTCAAAAATTATGAGTGTGGTCAGTAACAGACCCAACTTCGTAACGAAAGGTGGTCAAACGATGATGGCGGAAATTGTGGATGTTAGGGATGTTAAAACGCACAAACCTCGTCTACCTTCACAAAAAATTATATCGGTTCGACGAAGCAAATGTACAATGGCTTGCGGACAGATTTTTAGTTGAGAATGAGGAAACTCGAGGAGGAGCACTTTCATGTATTCATAAAATGAAGATATGTCTACGATATCTAGGTGACCCTGGATATCAACACGATATTGGTCAGGAACTTGGTGTTAGTCAAGCAACGGTATCTCGGACGGTGGATAGAGTTGTGAACAGCATAGTTGCACAGTCGAACGAATGGATCAAGTTTTCAATTACCAACCATGAACTGATAAGGCTAAGCGGATATGGCAAAGCATGTATAAATTTCCGACAGCAATTGGTGTAGTTGATTGTACACATATAGGAATCCTGACTCCCTCCAGAAATCCTACTCCAGGTGCAGAAATGAATTATAATAAGCTTGTAAAACAAAAAAGAGTTATAATTGAACGTTGTTTCGGCCAAATGAAATGCCGTTTTCATATCCTACAGTATGTTTGCCGCATAAAGTTGGAAAATGTGCCGAAAATAATTATTGCTTGTATTGTACTCCATAATGTTGCGAAGAGCTTGGGTGATCCTGACTTTGAGTTAGTCGAGCAAGACCCAGATGAAGATGAAGGAAATCATGAGAATGACGAACTTCCTCTCCGCCAACTAGGTCAACAAATTAATAAGAAGAAACTTGAGTATTATAATAAATAGTTTTACTGGTTACAGTGTATTTATACGTTATAATAAGATTTATTTTCGTGAACATCATAAGTTACAGGTGGCTTCTGACGCTGCATCACTTCTAATTTCGTTTTATAATACTCTTGTTGTAAAATACTTATTTGGTACTGCTGTAACAGCACTAGACGTTGCAGTTCTTTTGTAGTTAACCCTTTGGCTTCCTCAGTTTTGTATTTCTCTGTTGCTAATTTTCTTTTTGGTGGCAATGTCTTTTGAACTGTTTGCTCACTGCGCTCGATATATAGTTCACTTCCTTCTTCTTGAACACTACCAACCTGAATGGCACCTTTAATTTTCCCAATTGTAGGATTACAGTCACCTTCCATAGCTTTCAGCAACTTTCTTTTACAATCTAACAATTTAATTGCTTTATTACCAGTTTTTTTTTAGATCTGGTTTTTTCTTCAATCGTGATTTCATGTTGTTGATTTTTTTTAATAAGCCTTTATTATCTAATGGTTTACCGAATGTTGATTCGTATTTTTTCAACATCTTCTTCAAGGCATCGTCCTTTCTCGTTTTTATTTTTGGAACTTGTGATTTTTGCAAAATAATGGAAGCAGGTCGTTGCCATTATTTTCTATAGTTTCCTCATCACTTGAGGATGACATGCATACTAATTTGATAAAAAACTGTATCCAGTAAAAATACGGAACGGTCTGTGTAAGCTCTGTGCTCAGTGGTGCTGAGTAAACGAACGCCCACGTCAACTACAAGCTGGAAAAAGTCAAGACATGAAGCTCAAGATACAAATACCAGTCAACCTTTTACTTCTTCTTGGAGGATATCCTCGCGAGTATAAGGTAATCATTATGAATATGAAAACAAGGATATGCTTATACTTCTACCTTTTTCTTCGAAGCAAGACATTAGACTTTTACCTTATGCTTACGAGGATATGCTTCTCTTTTATGAATACTGCTCAATATTTCTGGATTAGAAATATACTAAGTGACATATAAATCCAAACACCCAGTTTAAATGGTTTTATTTTAATAATATTTTGTATAAGTACTTAATGAAGCATAATAAGTAAATGATAAAATTTTCAAAATGATTGCACTGCTTTAAAGCCCTTTGACCTTTAATAATATGTGGATGCACCCTGATGTGCTACGCATTCTCCAACGCGCCTAGGCATGCTTCTGATCAGGTGGTCAATGTCCTCCTGCGTTATCTCATTCCAGGCAACCACCAACTCCTCACGAAGTGCTTCTAGAGTCTGAGGAGGACATTGCAAATTGAGCAATCTCCTACCCATCATATCCCACACGTGCTCAATTGGGGATAAGTCGGGAGATCTTGGTGGCCATGGTAACAATGTGACATCATTATGTTGAAAGAAGTCTATTGTGACTCTTGCAACATGTGGTCGGGCATTATCTTGTTGGAAAGTTGGATCTGCCAGGGTGTCAAGATAGGGTAAAAGATGGGGTTCTAGAACTTCGTGGATATAACGCTGCGCGTTCATGTTACCTCTGATGAAGATTAAAGGTGACCTGGAACCATAAGCTATAGCACCCCAAACCATAACTCCAACAGTGTGATGAACATGTCTTTCAACAAAAAACTGTGGATTCCTCCTTTCACCACGTCGCCTTCTAACCCTGGCACGACCATCGTGCATACCTAAACAAAATCGAGACTCGTCACTAAAGACAATACTGTTCCATTCCTGATCCCAGAGTGACCGTTGTCTGCACCACTCAAGGCGATTACGTCGGTGTTCTCGAGTTAAAGGGAGGACCCAGTGTGGCCGGTATGAAAACAAGCCAAAACTTCTCATTCGTCGGTAAACACTTCGCATGCCAATAGGTCTTTCGTGTTCTGCAAATCATTCATTTGCAATGGACCTGGTAGTGGAGAAACGGTCCCTTAAGGCCAATAATCTTAGGCGGCGATCTTCACGGTCTGTTGTTCTACGGCGGCGTCCAGTGCCCCTTGCTCTTTGCGTACGGCCTTCTCGAAGCCATGCCTGACAATACCTAACCACAGTGTCTACACTTCTTTGCACTCTAACTGCAATTGCCCGAAAAGAAAGTCCAGCTTCCCGAAGTCCTACTATACGGCACCTATCAAACTCACTAAGTTGACGAAATCGTACAGGTCTCCGTACTCTAGGCATCGTAACCGATCGTAAAGGATGTCAAGAGCCAAAAGCCGCCAACGTTGATTCTTTACTGCGGCTGAAATATTCATTTTTAGAGCGTTATTGAATTAAAAAAAAGCAGTATAAGAACCGGAATGTCCAACTGATAAAGCTGAACATTTTTTCACTTGTTATTTACAGTAAGATAAATACATTCACCAACTTTTATTAAAATAAAACCATTTAAACTGGGTGTTCGGATTTATGTCACTTATAGTAAGTAGTATATTTTGTTTGGCCAATAAGGTTTGTATACGCATTCACCATTTTCACAATACTATTGGAAGGACTCGACCGACCAACCTAGTAGAATTAAGATACTGACTAATTTTTTTACAGGAGCTGTTTGTTTTGAGCCATGCCATAAAGGTCCCAATTAACCCCAAAGCGGTATCAGTGTCGACTAAGCTTACTTAGATAACAACGCCACAATTTGCCTCCTCCATTAGAAGCGATTGTAAGGAATTTTATTTTCGACATAGAATTCCTCTCGAGATTATCATCTATGACCTTATCATTTGTCCAATTGCCTACTAGCTTATGTCAAAAAGATCTCAAAATCTCATTGCAGCCTCAGTTGGCGTTGATAAATGGCTTTCTGCAAATATTTATGTGCAAAATCGATCAATTTCATATTGATTGACATATTTTTCAGCGCCGAAGGCCCCATTGGAGGGACGGTCTATTGGCGCGGACGTACACCTTGTCCATTGGCTGCGACACAAGCACCAGGCTATCGTGTAGGAGTGGGTGCGGCTTGCATAAATGACTTCTTATAATATCTGTGTCACAAAATTGATCTGTCTCTCATTAGATTGTCATATATAGTAATGCTGATTGACCTACCTCCTGTCTGGCGGCAACACTGCAAACAGTTGACTGACGTGCTACCACTGGCATGGCCTACTAGAGCTGCGAATACTTCTGTCACAGAATTGCTCTTTCAGTTAACTCTCTCAATTTTTGACTCTTTGCCCATTTATCCATACCAAGAAAGGTTCACTAGACCTCAGTGTGGCGTCAGCATTGGTCCACACTTTAAGTGGTTGCAGCCTTGCGAACACTTGGATGTACAATTAATTGGCTTGGCCTTCAACGACTGTAAATATTTCTGTCACAGAAAACGTTACCCAATCCAATCTTCTTTATTTATGGCTCTTTATCGAGTGGCCTATTTATCCGTGTGGAAAAGGCCCAAGTTAGCCTCAATGCCGCATTGGCGTTGACCTATCTCCTGCCTGCCAGTAACATCGAAAAAACTTGGGTGGCTCTGCAAAGCACAAAATGCCTCTTTCAACCGATCTTTTCTCTATTCCTCTGCCTATTTCAGCTACGCAAAAAGGCCTTAATTAGTCTCGGTGTTGGTTTTGCTATTTAGCTATGACAAAAAAGACCCTAATTGGCGTCAATGCGGTGTCGGTGTTGCTCTACCTTTTTTTAATGCGGCAGAAACGGTTTTCAATGGCTTCCTGTAAATATGCCACTCATATAGTCGAACTTTTTTATCTAGAGACTCTTTTTATTTACCGGTCAGCCCATTTATCCGTCTCAAAGGCCTCAGTTAGTCTCAATGCTGCACCGACGTTGACCTGCCCCCTGTCTGGTGTCATTTTCAGTTCTATTCATCGTTTGATATATTTTTCGGAGTTAAAAAGGCTCCAATTCAAATTCAAATTCAAATTCAAAATATTTATTTCGTCATGAATAAACATCATAAACAAAAGAAATTCTACATATAGAGTAATGACGAAAAAGGACAGTCTCTCGATTATAAAACCGATACATTGGACTCTTTAATACAAAGAGTCCATGAGAGAAAGCCCTGAATACCCTAAAAGTTCTTAAACAAAATAAAAAATACAATAAAGAGGCAAATGAAGAGGTGGTGAAACACAAAAAAGGCAAAAACGAAGAGAGAACCCCCGGGAGCTGGCAACGGACGCGAAAAACAAATCTATACAACTTGTCAGCGAGTAGGAATGTAAAAACGTTATTTTTGCTCACACAAGCGCTGCTAAAGTAGCTGGTGATTCTGTAACAACGTTTTTGTCAGTTTTGAGAATGTTTTTGACGATGAGCTTTTAACTGAAGTTGGTAAATTATTCCATAAGTGAACCGCCACATAGGCAAACGATTGTCGGAAGGAACGCGTTCTATGCCTAGGTACGATAAAATTGAGATTATTTCTACTTCTCTGGGCACTAGGCAAAGGCACAAATCTTTCTCTTAAATAGGGCGGTTGACCTGTTTTTATAACCCTATAGATAAAAGAATACATGTGATATTTTCTGCGATTGGTCATGTTTAATATGTTGTAGTTATTCAGATAAGGAGTGATATGGTTTCGATATGGAATTCCAAATGCAACTATTTTGAACTTTTTGTATGCATTTTTTGGTTCGCGACGATAGCGAATCACCATAGACGACATCTCCATAGTCAAAAAGTGATAAAATTAAGGTATTACACAAATAATATTTTTGTTTGGCTGATAAATGTTTTTTTAATTTGTTTATATTTTTTAGTCGCATGTAAGCTAAATTTGTTCTGTTTTTTATATGACTGCCGAAGCCAAGCGAGCTATCAAATATAATGCCTAGATTTTTTGTCTCCTGAACTATGGGGATTCTGTCATTGTTAGTAGAAATTACTAAATTTTGTTCAAAATGTTCTCTTTCAGTACTGTTTTTATTCATAACCATTACTTGCGATTTTGAGGTGTTTAGTTTAAGATTGTGATGCTTTACAAATGTGTCAATTCTTTGGAGATCTGAATTTAGTTGTTGTTGTGCAATATGGATTGTGGTTTTATTGACAGGGAGATATATTTGTGAGTCATCTGCATATTGTTTTATCTTTGCGAATTTTACCGATTTGACCATGTCAGATATGT